ACAGAAGGATAGCTATCTTCTTCTAAACTACGAGTTTATCTTTTATTTACTTTTGATGCAGGGATCTTTTTTTTTTTTTTTTTTTAATGCTGGGGATTGAACCAGTGTCTCAAACATGCTAAGCAGGTGCTCTATTGCTGAGTACTCCAGTCCAAGAATTTCTTTAAATCTGCACTAGACTCTATCTTGTATATACCACACTTGGTGAAGCCTGCATAGGAAAATTTGGGATCAATGATCAAGCTTATTTATTTGCTGTACTGAAGACTAAGCCTAGGATTGCTCTATGGCTGAGCTACATCCCTAGTTCCCCTTTTTTCTTTTAATTTTTAAAAAATTTTATTGATTTTATTTTTTAAATACATGACAGAAGAATGCATCACAATTCTTATTACACATAGAGCACAATTTTTCATATTTCTATATATAAAGTATGTTCACTCCAATTCAGATCTTCATATGTGTACTTATTTTTTTTTTTTTAGAGAGAGGATTTTTTAAATATTTATTTATTTATCTTTTATTTTTTGGCAGACACAACATCTTTGTTTGTATGTTGTGCTGAGGATCGAACCCAGGCCACACGCATGGCAGGCGATCGTGCTATCACTTGAGCCACATCCCCAGCCCCCTCCATACATGTACTTTGGATAATATGTCCATCACATTCCACCATCATTGCTAATTATCTGCCCCCTTCCTTTCCCTCCCATGCTTCTGCCCTATCTTGAGTTCCTCTATTCCTCTCATGCTCCCCATCCCTACTCCATTATGAGTCAGTCACCTTAGAGAAAACTTTCAGCATTTGTTTTTTTGGGATTGGCTAACTTAACATTACCTTCTCCAACTCCATCCATTTACCTGCAAATGCCATGATTTTATTCTCTTTTACTGCTGAGTAATATTCCATTGTGTGTATATACCACATTTTCTTTATCCATTTCATTTATCTACTGAAGGGCATCTAGGTTGGTTCCATAGTTTAGCTATTGTGAATTGTGCTGCTATAAACATTGATGTGGCTGTGTCCCTGTAGTATGCTATTTTTAAGTCCTTTGGGTAGAAATTGGGGAGAAGGATAGCTGGGTCAAATGGTGGTTCCATTCTCAGTTTTCCAAGGAATCTCCATACTGCTTTCCAAATTGGCTGCACCAATCTGCATTCCCACCAGCAATGTATGAGTGTGCCTTTTCCCCCACATCCTCGCCAACACTTATTGTTGTTTGTATTCTTGATAGCTGCCATTCTGACTGGAGTGAGATGAAATCTCAGAGTAGTTTTGATTTGCGTTTCTCTAATTTCTAGAGATGATGAATATTTTTTTCATATATTTGTTGATTGATTGTATATTCTCTTCTGAGAAGTGTTTGTTCAGGTCCTTCGCCCACTTATCAATTGGGTTATTTGTTTTTTTCTTTGGTGTTTGGCTTTTTGAGTTCTTTATATACCCTAGAGATTAGTGCTGTATCTGATGTGTGAGGGGTAAAAATTTGCTCCCAAGATGTAGGCTCTCTATTTACCTCACAGATTGTTTCTTTTGCTGAGAAGAATCCATTCCATTTACTGATTCTTCATTTTAATTCTTGCGCCAAGGAGTCTTAAGAAAGTTGGGTCCTAATCCCACATAATGGAGATTAGAGCCTACTTTTTCTTCTATTAGATGCAGAGTCTCTGATTTAATTCCTAGGTCCTTGATCCACTTTGAGTTGAGTTTTGTGCATGGTGAGAGATAGGGGTTTAATTTCATTTTGTTGCATAAGGATTTCCAGTTTTCTCAACACCATTTGTTGAAGATGCTATCTTTTCTCCAGTGCATGTTTTTGGCACCTTTGTCTAATATAATTGTAATTTTGTAGGTTAATGTCTGTGTCCTCTATTCTGTACCATTGGTCTACCAATCTGTTTTGGTGTCAATACCATGCTGTTTTTCTTACTATTGCTCTATAGAATAGTTTAAGTAAGGTCTGGTATAGTGATGCCACCTGCTTCACTCTTCCTGCTAGGAATTGCTTTAGCTATTCTGGGTCTCCTATTTTTCCAGATGAGTTTCATGATTGCTTTTTCTATTTCTATAGGAATGTCATTGGGATTTTGATCGGAGTTTCATTAAAACTGTATAGTGCTTTTGGTAGTATGGTCATTTTGATAATATTAATTCTGCCTATCCAAGAGCAAGGAAGACTTTTCCATCTTCTAAGGTCTTCTTTAGAATCATATGATCATCTCAATAGATGCAGAAAAAGCATTTGACAAAATACAGCACCCCTTAATGTTCAAAACACTTGGGGCTGGGGATGTGGCTCAAGCGGTAGTGCACTTGCCTGGCCTGCATGCAACCTGGGTTTGATCCTCAGCACCACATACAAACAAAAATGTTGTGTTTGCCGAAAACTAAAAAATATGAAAATGATTCTCTCTTAAAAAAACAAAACAAAACGCTACAGTGCTCACTTCAGCAGCACATATACTAAAATTGGAACGATACAGAGAAGATTAGCATGGCCCCTGCGCAAGGATGACACGCAAATTCGTGAAGCATTCATATTTTTGAATTGCAATGTAAAAAAATTATGACTGTAATGCACTACATTATTGACATATATGTAAGAAATAATAAAAAAATAAAAAATAAAACAAAACAAACAAACAAAAAACACTAGAAAAACTAGGGATGACAGGAACATATCTCAACATCGTAAAGGCTATCTACGCTAAGCCCCAGGCCAACATCACTCTAAATGGAGAAAAATTAAAATAATTCCCTCTAAAAACTGGAGCAAGGCAGGGATGCCCTCTTTCACCACTTCTATTTAACATAGTTTTTGAAACACTGGCCAGAGCAATTAGACAGATGAAAGAAATTAAAGGGATACTTATGGGAAAATAAATTAGCACTATTTTCTGAGGATATGATTCTATACCTAGAAGACCCAAAGAGCTCCACCAGAAAACTTCTAGAAGTAATGAGTTCAGCAAAGGAGCAGGATATAAAATCAACACCCATAAATCAAAGGCATTTCTGTATATCAGTAACAAATCCTCTGAGGGAAATGAGGAAAACAACTATATCCCATTTACAATAGCCTCAAAAAAAAAAAAAAAAAACACTTGGGAATCAACGAAAGAGGTGAAAAATCGAGGTGAAAAATCCAAACAATGAAAACCTGAGGGCTGGGAATGTGGCTCAAGCGGTAATACGCTCGCCTGACATGCGCAGGGCGCTGGGTTCGATCCTCAGCACTACAAAAAAATAAAAATAAAGATGTTGTGTCCACCAAAAACTAAAAAAAAAAATAAATAAAAATAAATATTAAAAAATTCTCTCTCTCTTTAAAAAAAAAGAAAAAAGAAAATAAGAGGTGATTTACTTCTAGAGTA